TCACCATTCCTAAAGATTTGCGATCGCGAGGGTCAAAATCGGTGACACTGCCCCTTTAAGAGCGCCTGATCGCAGGTTAGGTCAACACGCACGATCATTATACCTCCAACCTACATGAAGTATAGCCCAATCAATAAATGCCAGCTCATAACAAGAGAAACATGTCGACGTAATATGGAGCGAGAAAAGTTTAGTGGAAATTTATTAAATCAGAATAAAGGTTTTGGCCGCATTGAACCAGGACTAAGGTACTTAAGCCCTTTCATTTTTAGTTGTTTTAATCATCAAATCCTAATCAAGCATTGATCAAGTCTAAGATGGTTTTTTTTCGTGTAGTTCAGCGCCATATCTATGCTTTTTGATCGTGTCGAAAATTCTGTATGTGTACGGGTTCTTCCTGTCGCATGATCTGCTGAAAAGCGTGCATATTGTGCAGTATTTGTTCATTGTTCGAGCAAGGTAAGGTTTATTTTCATCATAGAGTTCATTTAACAGTGTAGTGTGAATTTATTTAAAATAATTGTTTTTTTAAATAGTATCGATATAAAGTACTTATAATAAGTATCTATTATTCCATGTGACTATGTAATAATTCAAACAATAATTTTGCTGCAGAGAAAGTGTTGGATGCCAATGGGTTAATAAACTCTTAATCCATGTCTTTCAATAACCCATTTTGTATTTAGCCGCAATATGCTTTATTAACCCTTTAAGTGGCAATGCGCCTTACTTTATTATTTGACTCTGTCTAATGCCAGACGATTTTACTCATCAAGGGGAGAGTGCTGCAACTCAATGGGTTAATGAGATGCCCATGCACCCTGTTAACCCTTTAAGTGGCAATGTGCCCAGATGCACCTAGCCTGCATGTCAGGCTCTATGCTTGAAATAGAGCCTGCTACTGAAGTCAATAAAAAGTGGACAGTGATTTGGATGCACGAAAATAACAACCAATCAAAATGGTGATTGTTAATTAGATTATTAAAGCTAATTTAAAATATGACAATAACGGCCAATTTTTCCACCAATATCTCGAAAATAAATCTTCCAATTTTCATTAAACGACCAGGAATTACATGCTAAATAATAAAAACTGTTATTCACTGTGTTCATAGACAGCAAAGGCAGTAATTAATGCGGCCAAAAGTACAATTAAAAGTATGGAATATCATATTACGTAAACAACAACTTGATATTACCTCAAAAGGCAAGCTAGGCTATTTATTTCTGACCAATGGGAATTTTGCATACGATTCGTACACATAAATCCATTTTTATTGACTTCAGTAGCAGGTTCTATTTCAAGCATAGAGCCTAGAGGTGTGCATCGGATCGGATTGGACGTTTATAATCCGACATTTGCCTAATGTTTAAAATATGATCCGATCCGAAATTGTCTAATCTGAATCCGATCATCTGAGTTTTGAAAAAGAATTCCGATCCGAAGAATTTTTAAATAAAATAAATTTCTCATTCAAGTTGAAATAATTAACCAAATAAATATAAAAGCAAGAAATACATGTCAAGAAGCTGACAAAATGAAGTCCAATTGAAGTATCAAACGAATAATGCAGCAACACCTGTGATGATACTTTCATTGATAAATGCATGGATAATTAATTCTTGCGATAATGTGTGGATAATTAATTCATTTTATTTCGGATATCGAAGTCCGATCCGACAACGAAACAACTTTATCAATCCGATCCGAAATGAATATTTTGGTTCCGAAATCCGAATGAATCGGATCGGATTCAGATTGGATTTGCACACCTCTAATAGAGCCTGACATGCAAGCTAAGATGCGCCCTACTTTATTATTCTACTCTGTTTAACACCAGATGATTTACTCATCAGGGGGAGAGTGCTATCACTCAATGGGTTAATGTACCCTATTTTATAATTTTATTTTGTCTAATGACAGACAGTTTCGTTGAGAATGGGAAAGTGCTTATTAACCTCTGAGCATGCAAGACCTCCCCTTGATAGGTAAAATTGTGTGGCATTAGCCAGAGTAAAATAAAGTATGACACATTTGGAAGAATTGTGGCTTGATCAATGGGTTAATAAACAGGAATCTTTATTGTTATGTAGTTCATCGCTAGTGTTTGTGCTCTTGCAAAAACCTTTATCATCTGGAAAACGTCTAACAACTTCACAGGTTGGTTTTCCTTGATGTTATTTATATGTTGTGAATAAGTTAAAAAAATCATTTTCAAATTTTAAATAATTTTTATTAAAAAAAAAAAATTTCAATAAAAATTATTTTTAATCTGGAGAACTTTAACAAATCACAATATATATGCCTGGATTATACAAATCTTCAAACGTATGATAAGATTACAATTTTTATGTTAGTGGTATCAAGTTGCAAGACATGCTTTCTTCTCAACGATCTTGTCACTATTACTTTTGGATGGATTAACTCTCTGTGGTCCAGTAAGGTACAGACTTTGAACAAACTTGAATTGTATTGGAAGTAGTTGTGATTGTGACAAGTTGTTTTTGTAAGTAAAATGTGTATATATGTTCTGCAGAACTGTCTTGCTGTCTGAGCACAGTGATGTTGTCGTTTTTGGTGTTTTGGCCGTTCTTTTTAAGACTGGTCATCCTGGACCAACCAAGGTGAATTTTAATTTAAAGGACAATGGTCAGTGGCAACAAAAAACTTTATTGTCTTATTTGAAATCAGCTTAACTCTAGAAATATTTGGAGTGAAAACAACGAGCTGTCCGCCGTCTTAGAAGTAATTTTATTAGGCTAACCCCACTTTTCACATCTTCAAAACCATAGTTAATGAGGTTAAACTTGATTAATAGAACATCTGTAACAAGATTTTATAGATAATTTTAAACAAATCTTTCAAATCATGGTCGGATTTACCCCTACTATTTTGTATGAAAGTCTGTAACCCTAACGCCAAACCCCTGCCGAAGCTCGCTCAGTGGTGCTGCTTGCACCCCACTAGAAATTTTTCCACCCCTCCTTTTAAAAAAATGAAAATCCGCCCTTGTTTCAAATGAGACAATAACAATTTTTGTTGCTATTGTCCTAATGGTAAAATATCAATCATTCAATAGCATACATAGCAAATCCTTACATAGTTAATATTAAACCTTTGAAAAGATGACAATAGAAAAAAAACATGAATATTTCCTAGACTCGTGGAGCTCTGCTATTCCTGTTTGCGATGATATCTCTTCTTCTGTTTGACAATGATGAAGTCACGCCTGGAAACCATCATCGTATCCTTTTGACATAAGTCATGCCTGTATATTTAGTTTTTTTGCAGGTAGCCAAAAAAATTTTCAGTTAGCCTTGCGTGATCCAAACTTGCTCGCTTCGCTTGAAGCTTGCAAATGGCGACAGGGGACCGAAATTTTTTTGAGTTATGTTTCATATTGTCAAAATTGAGTGTCCACTAAATTGCTCAAACTCAATTGGTCGAAAATTTTCATATATCAAGCCGAAAACGGAGTTCTGGTTTTTGAAAACGGAGTTCTGGCATTTGAAAACGGAGTTCTGGCTTTTGAAAACGGAGTTCTGGCATTTGAAAACGGAGTTCTGGCTTTTGAAAATGGAGTTTTGGCTTTTGAAAACGGAGTTCTGGCATTTGAAAACGGAGTTTTGGCATTTGAAAACGGAGTTCTGGCATTTGAAAACGGAGTTTTGGCTTTTGAAAACGGAGTTCCGGCAGTTGAAAAGGTAGTTCTGGCATTTGAAAACTGAGTTTTGGCATTTGAAAACTGAGTTTCACACATTTGAAAACGGAGTTCTGGCAGGAAGTTCTTGAAATTTTCTATGCATGCATAAGACCTTCTGACCAAGGATTGCAGTTAGCTTCAGGCACTTGCAGGTAGCGCCGCTACCTAGGATCCCAACATCTGACAGGCATGACATAAGTTTGCAAATAACTGTTTTAAAACCACTACACAGGTTGGTGTTTGGGAGTTGCATGGGGTGGACACTCCTAGAATCACACCTGCTACCCAAATATAGTGAACAATAATGTTCGAATAATTACCAAATCAAGAAAATTTGATCACATGAACTCCCTTGTTGAATGAACTGCACTGGATTCCCATTAAACCGTACTTGCGCTACCGTGACGCTGTTTTGACATTCAAATGTCAAAATGGAACAACACCTGAATCTTTATCTCAGCAATTTGTGAGGAGAGCTGACATTAGTGGACGTTGTACGAGGAACTCAAGTTCTTTGAACATCCCCTTTTTCTAGAGTCCAGCTGGTTAACGGACATTTAATTTTATTACCGCGCTGTCTGAACGAACTTCCAGAGAACATTAAATGTAGTTTATCAGTTAATATTTTTAAACATAAATTACATAAAATATCTTTTAGAAAATCATACTAAGTAGCATTTAGCCTGTGACAAATTTAAAATCCATATTAGTAATTAATTAGTATAGCCTATGACTTTTGTATATGTTAATTGCTTCCGAAAAAACCCGTTTGGAAGAGTTCAATATAAAATTATTGTATTGACGACTATTGTGTTGTGCAATTGGTCCAAATCCCAATTAGAATTCCAATCTAATTTGCACTGGTAGCACCTATGTACATCACACTGAAAAATTCTGCACTCCCCCTTGAAATCTACATCCCATTGTACCCCCACTCCCTTCTGGATCATTAAAATATAGTAATCAATGATATTACCATTCAAATATATTTTGCCCTTGACTGACTACAGCTGAAGGAGCTCATCGAAGTCATCTTATTCATTATCTTTACCAATGGAAAGCACTCTCATTACCAGGCCTTCCACTACTATCTGATCACAAGGGAGGCTTGTTGCTGCTCACTGTAGTTTTGCTGTTCAATGTTGGCAACAAAAGTTATGGAAGAAAAGTTGCTGTGGATATTGGAGGTGAATGAATTATTTGTTCTGTGTGGATATGTTTTATTCAATGTTTTTTATGTTACTCTGAGAGTCTGAGTGTATATCCACACCGGGCAGGCTGAAAAGTTAGCCTGCATGACCTCGGTGGGAATCGAACCTACAACCTTTGGGCGACCTTTGGGATACTAGCCCAATGCTCTGCCAACTGAGCTACGCGGTCAGGTCGGTTCGAGTATGTGATATTTCGGAACTGAGTCTAGTTCCTTCGATATCAATGCAATCTAGTAATCATGATTTTTTCTGTGTTGGTGTAATGTACTCTGTAAATACTAGTCCAATGCTCTGCCAACAAAGCTACAAGGTCAAGTCCGTTCAAATGTGTGGTATTTCGGAACTAAGTGTAGTACCTTCGAATTCGATACCAATCCGTTCTTATGATCATGACATTTTTTCAGCCTGCCCGGTTACGGATTTTCACTCAGAGCTAGTAACATCAAAAACATTATATTCACCTGAGTAGATAACATCAAAACACACAAAAAGTATCATCAGATGTTTTATTTGATTGTGTTTTATTTTCTTCAACATTCCTCATTCCTCGTTTGTAGGTTCAAAGAGATTCAATGCCTTGACAAACTCTCTGTCTGTTCTGTTTCTTCTGCCTCCGGCTGTTTTACTGTTTGCCTTTAGGGTAAGAAAAACAAATAATTGATATGTTTCAATAAGCGTGCAGGGCAGAAATGACACAAATTAAATTATACATTCTCTCAATTCGGGGTGTTAGCGAGAAGATTAAAAAATTCGGCAATTAATGAAATTGGAAATTTCAGTCAGCTTGCGACATTCAGACCAGAGAAGTGACGTTCTCGTGGCCTAGCGCCAGCTGAGCTAAATTGAAACTTCTGAAGTGCAAGTCACCTGTCATTGTTTTGCGTACTAAAAACAGACAACTATATATTTTAGGCAACATGACATCATCGCAACACTTATCTGGTACCCAATTTTTCTTGAGCAAAGTTTTGAAGTTGAACAGTCTTTTATATATGTAATAGTTCGTTTCTGGCTGATCTAAATTGTGAAATTGCTGTCTAAATGTAATTGTGAAAACGGCGTATAACTCCGAATTTTTTACTGTAGCGAACACCCTGCAATTCTATTAATTTGCCACCAAATATATATACTATACTACATTTAATGAAAGTACATTGACTGCCATCTAGTGAATAGTGTATCATATAGTGATTGACCGATTGTGCCACAATAGGAAATTACCGATTGGTACCCACTGAACTATATAACATGGAAGTCTGACTCGAGCTCAAAAAGTGAAGCCAACATGGCAGAATTTGAAGGCATTCTTGCGCGTCATTCTCAGTCCCCTTACGTGCGCGGTCAACAAAACTTTTATATTTTTCTTTACTTTCCGAGTAAAAATTTGGTGAAAAACAGACGAAATTTGAATGAAAAGTTGAAATCTGGTATTTTGTTTGGGTTCGGTTATAAATTTTAATTATTATTTGTTTAGGAGATGTGATATTTGAGTGGAAAGAAAGCAAAATAGCGCGGGATTGCTGTTTTTGTAAAATGACAAGGAGTGACAAAACAAAACACAAAGTCACTCAATCTTTCAAAATATCTCTACTGCCCCTATCAACAAGAGTTTCACACACATGAATAACTCATTAAAATGAACAGTTTAAGTTTATAAGGCAAACATCAAAGTTATGTTATTAAATAGAAAATAAAAAAACAAAATTTTCTTACATGTATGGAATTAAATTGGCTAAAAAGTTAAAAAGCAGTTTTAGGTCAGGAAAACCGACTAAAATAAGCTAAATAATGGTGTGAAAACTGAAAAGCACCATAGAAACAAGAAAACGAAACAACCAAAGCAAAAATAAATTGCCAATTTATAAAAATACAGATTTTATATCAAAAAAACAAAAAAGTTTGAAATTAGTTGTTGAATTCGCAACGAAAAATACAGATTTACTCACACACATACAGTGGGAAAATGCAGTAGACAGATCGAGTAGATGAAGGAAATCAGGTTTACATGAAATAAATAAAGTTTATTTCCTTTTTTGCTCTTCTAAAATGAAGAAAAACACAACCCGAGAGTCGCAGACCCATCACTTCCCGCCATGAAAATACAAAAATTGTTTGGCCGCGCGGGTAAGGGGACTGAGAATGACGCGCAAGAATGCCTTCAAATTCCGCCATCTTGGCTTCACTTTTTGATTACGTCAATGACTGAAGTCAGCCTTCCATGTATATAGTTCACTGTTGGTACCTACATATTATTCATGCAACAATCTACCATTTTTTAACATTGGCAATAAAAAATTAGTTTAGTTCATTTGAATGAACTCTTAAAACTATGTATATTAAACTCTATTACAGATTGTTTATATCTTGCTTATAGTTTTCAAAGTATTTCGACTGAAAAGAGTGAGCTGTTCGCCATCTTGGATTATTGAGGATATATGCATGTTACGTCAGGGGAGGGAACACGCTAATTTTTTATTTTGAGAGTAAGCGATCAATATGGGTCCAAAAGTTCGTTTGTGGTTGCTGTCTGAAATTTAGAAATGATTAAAAACATTTCAAACAATTTTGGTTTGCTATATACTCGGTCATTTTAGAGTAGTTTTATATGGTTAACCCTACTCCTGACGTCATCAAAACCATAGCTAATGAGGTCAAGAATTAGTCCAAGATGGCAAACAGCTCATTAATTTCGGTCCAAATATTTCGAGAACTAAGCAAGATATATGACAAATTGGTAGTAGAGTTTAATATATAATTTTAAGAGTTCTTTTGAATGAGTGAAATGAGTGAATGAGTGAAACTATTAGTGAAACCTATATACAGGGTGTTAGCTACAGTCAAAAATTCCGCGTTAAACGCGGTTTTCCCAATTACCTCGAGGTCGCAATTTCCCAATTTGGGTCAGCCAAAAAAGAGTTACGCCATTAAAAACATGTTTATAACTACATTTGCTCAAAATTACTCCCAAAATGCGGGAAATGCCATTTCAAAGACACAAAAATTTTAAAAATCGAGAGGGGGCAACCGCATGCCTCCAGGCCCACAAAGAAATGCCCGGCTTCAGGCTAAAATAAATTTCACAATTTCAGGTAAACGCTGATTTTTTTTACTTCTGGCTAACACCCTGATATAGTACCATATTGTGTATGATTGTAATACAATATGTAGGCTTATTTTTCTATAAATTATATTCTTTTACAGGAAACGGATGTATCCTGGACGGACAAACTACTTTCAATTCTCTTAATTTCTTTTTCCATCGCGTTCGACTATTACGTTGAGGCGATATGTACGGCAAAACTCGACTCAAACAAAACGTCAAAGTGGGCGTCCACTGTGTCATTTCTTGCTGCATTTGGCTTGGGTTTGCTGTGGAATGATCATCATATTGGCACATTTATATTTCCGTTCAGTAAAGATGCGTTTGATGAGCATGGCATATCGGGCAGTGTCGTACTTGCCGTTCTGTTTTTGTCTATAGGTAAGAAAATGGTACGCCAAGTTCAATGTGCCTTTCACCTGTGTGATTAGGGTATGATTCCTGCAGTTTGGACCTCTAGAGAGAACAGTTAAGAACATGGCCTGATTTACTGGGGGTTAGGGGGGGTTAACCCCCCTAGAATTTCTCTAACCCTTTTAATAAAGTGTTCAACCCCACCCAAATTTCGCTTCACCCCTCCTATTTTGTGTGAAAGGCTTTAACCCAAACGCCTAACCCTAGGCCTGCCGAAGCTCATTGAGTGGTGCCGCTTGTAGCCCTGTGTAACTATATACAGTAAAAAATCGGCGTTATACGCCGTTTTGACAATTACGTTTAGCCAGCAATTTCACAATTTAGATCAGCCAAAAGCGTAACTATTATATATATATATAGAAAGATTGTTCAACTTCAAAACTTTGCTCAAGAAAAATTGGTTATCAGATAAGTGTTGCGAGGATGTCATAATATACATTTGCCTGTTTTTCGTACGCAAAACAATGTCAGGTGACTTGCACTTCAATAGTTTCAATTTAGTTCAGCTGGCACTAGGCCACGAGAACGTCGCATAAGAAACACGATATTCCTTAACTCCGGTCTGAATGTCGCAGGCCAACTGAAGTAACACTTGTATTATACAATTACTTTATGGTTTCCGTGTTTGGATGGCCTGATCCAAACACGCGGGAATGTTGCGAGAG